ATGTATGACTTACGAGATGCGCTTAGGCATGTGGCTTTACTCGTCATTCCAGTCATAACAATGCGTATTTCATCGCGCGTTTCCGGCAATCCATGGGGGGGGGACTCCACAGGGATGCTTTTGGGCTCAGAGACTGGATGAAGCACTCGGAATTATTGTATATCTATAAAATATCCAAATGCAGGAGGGCTTTGCGGGATAAGTTTATGTTGTTTTTCGCACCATGTACCGAATATGTTTCTCCTTTCACTTGATCAGCGGATACATCAGCTGGTGATATATCAGCTGGTGTGAACATCTGGAGTAAATGATCTGGTGCATAGACTAGATGATTCACTCCAGATGTTAATTTTCATTCACGTCCGCGACCACACTTGTAAAAACAGTGCAGACCGCAAAAACGACAGGCCCGTATTTTAACATGCGCACCGCTTGCTTGTTTTTCACAGTCGATAAAAACAATCAATATTTTTAAGAAGGCTATAGTGGACAAAAAATTTCGATCGGTCTGTTAGATCTGTTGCGCTTGTACCTGGATTTATTTGCTTATTAATGGCGCATTGCTGTAGTTTTCACCAAAGCCGGTCGTTACACCGCATTGCCATACGGGCTACCAGGGCACTAGCGTGGTGAAAAGCGCTTTGTCATTCGCAAGAGAAGAAAATCACACACTGTGCTGTACTGCAAAATCCATGCAACAATCATACGCGTTTCACAATCTAACCATGCAGATAAAACGCATGCAGGAGCTCAGCAGCCTCGATCCATTCCAGCTAGAGTGGCTGTGACTGATGCTCTACGGGGCCCCTAGCATTTACCGGGACTGCCAAGCTTCCGCACGTCAGGCGTTGATGGATGGATGGATGCCATCACTAGGGAACACAAACCGTTCATAACTTGCATTAGCTAATTGAAACGAGCGGAGAGCACCCTAAGGTCTCGACGTTGGCACCGCTCTGTAAGCTTCTGTCGGGTAAAGTGAGCACCCTACCGCTAGCCTTAGAGCATAGCGATATGAATTTTGACAGTATGCTGGGCATGCTTACATAGAACAGAACATAGCTCCTTCGTCGTCAATGGACCTTTACGACGCGACCAGCTGCTGCAGCCATATGGCGTCGCCTACTCCTCACCCTGGCGGAATGACGGGCACCGCGAAGAGTGGAACCCGTACCTCTAGTTTCCGAGATGCGCAGCTAAACCGCTTCACTTCCAGCATCTGAGACCACAGCGCCTTATCCCACACGTTGTCATACTTGCGGGAATGAGGCGGCAGCTTCAGCTTTCCATCCACCACGCTCTTTGTGTTCATGCCCACCTGGCATAGCCACACTTGCACGGAGATAAAGTGCAGGTGCTCTCATCGAGAACCTCTCATGACGCTTTGTCCGGGATCTTCGGCACTTTTCAGCTTTAGAATTATTTCTGCGGAGCAACATTTCAGCCTATGTTTGGGCTTGTTACAGATACTCAGCCCGCCATACTTATCCCAAACGACGTCATACCACACCTAGAATTGTCCCCGGTGTCCCCGTCTTTCCACGGCAGCCACAAGTGCGCTCCCCGAAGCTTTAAAGAGTTCTCATCAGTTTCAGACGAATTATCTTGCTTTCGTCATCGGACGTTGTTTTCCGGTGACCCCATCCAAATAACACTCCACTGAGGCCAGACGCTGTGGTACGCGCAAACCATGCGTGCCGGGTGTTAGCATGGGATGATTTAGAGATCGATGTTCGCTTTCCGATATTTCATCGCATCTTTGATTTTCAAGACACTGCTAACGGAGTGAATGATTTAAACGCTCACAGCATTGAAGGCTGCATGTAACCCGACAGGATCAAGGCCTGCCATTCCTTCAGCTCCGTGGGTAAAGAGCCGGGTACCCTAGTTAACGTGTAGCGCTTACGTACGTACGGGTCCGGAAGCTCACGCGGATCCTGGAACTCACTCAAATCGGGTGGGACTCGTCATTGGTGCGGTCAGTTGGCAAGTGAACGAGAACGCCAGGCTGGAGCAGAAGAGTGCGAGCCACGGCTTGGCACGGCGTGACGGCTTCGGTGAAAATTGTGCCCGCTGAGCCTGGCTTACCCCTGGTGGGTCAGGGTCTCTGCAATAAGCTGTGGTTAACGGTGACGGATCGCAAAGCCAGCGGTGGAAAACTTTCGGTCACATTGTCGTAAAAAACGACAATTGAAATGTTGACGGAGTGCATTAACGAGGACCGGATAGAGATGAACTTGTTGAAAACGTAAGAATCGGTACAGTCATTGCACTTCAAATTGCTTGATCACCTGCTCTAACGTGCGTTTACTTCAGTGGAATGGGGGTTGCCTTGGGATAGTCATATTGTTGCGGAAACCTATCGCATGCATCACCGCTCACGAAATGCTTCTGCGGTTGATGCCAAACCCGGTGCGCATCCGGTGTGAACCGCCGTTATTTGCTAGCACCTGCAGGCGGCTTTTGCTGGGTGTAAAAATATCAACGGCGTGCGGCCAGCCGTGATGTGTGCGTCATGCGGGTGCATGGAGACGTAGACAGTGCTGAGAAAGCTATGCGTGAAGCACGGGGCGTTTCCCAATGGGACATGGGACAGTGCCAGCACGGCTAGAGTGGACGTTTAACTAAAGGGCAATGTGGTAAGTGAACTAGTTGCTTGGAAGCTTATTTTATACACAATGTTTAACTTATCATTGAGCTATTTCTAAGAGAAAGTAAATGACATATCGGTTAAGCCAGCCATACACAGAAGAAATACCTTCCCACCTTCCTGTCACGGCAGACTCGTCACAGCCAGATATAGTCACAACCACTGCCATAGTCGTGCACATAATGTACAGTTAACAGCCGGCCTCCTCTGGAGTTGGGCGTGTCGACACTCTGACTGGACCCGTCCGACCCTCCGGCCACGCCGCGTGTGACGCCTCGCGGCCCCCGTCAGCACCCTGTAAGCGCGTTGACACTGACTGGATTCGTCTGATCCTTCGGCCACACCGTCTGTGACGCCTCCCGGTCTCTGTGAGCGCCCTGTGAGCGTGTCGCGGTGTGCCCGCAGCCAGCACCTGTCGCCGTTGCAGTCCGTGGCCGGCCTGGTGCGAGTCAGCCTGCTCAACAGCAGCCTGGAGGAGACGTGCCAGCGGGCGCCGCGCTGCCGCGACTCGCGCTACCGCACTCGACGGCAGATGCAACAACCTGCGCCACGGCCTCTGGGGCAGCGCCGAGACCGCGCTGCAGCGCATCGGCATGCCGCCTACGCCGACGGTGGGTCCCAGGCGGGTCTCTGGTGTCGGCAGGTCCCGGGCGGGGTTCTGGTGTCGGCTGGTCCCGGGCGGGGTTCTGGTGTCGGCTGGTCCCGGGCGGGGCTCTGGTGTCGGCTGGTCCCGGGCGGGGCTCTGGTGTCCCTGGTCCGGGCGGGGCTCTGGTGTCCCTGGTCCCGGGCGGGGCTCTGGTGTCGGCTGGTCCCGGGCGGAGCTCTGGTGTCCCTGGTCCCGGGCGGGGCTCTGGTGTCCCTGGTCCCGGGCGGGGCTCTGGTGTCGGCTGGTCCCGGGCGGGGCTCTGGTGTCCCTGGTCCCGGGCGGGGCTCTGGTGTCGGCTGGTCCCGGGCGGGGCTCTGGTGTCGGCTGGTCCCGGGCGGGGCTCTGGTGTCGGCTGGTCCCGGGCGGGGCTCTGGTGTCCCTGGTCCCGGGCGGGGCTCTGGTGTCGGCTGGTCACAGGCGGGGCTCTGGTGTCCCTGGTCCCGGGCGGGGCTCTGGTGTCCGTGGGGCCGGGCGGGGTTCTGGTGTCGGCTGGTCCCGGGCGGGACTCTGGTGTCGGCTGGTCCCGGGTGGGGCTGTAGTGTCGGCTGGTACGGGATGGGGTTCTGGTGTCGGCTGGTACTGGGTGGGACTCTGACGTCGGCTGGTACGGGGTGGGACTCTGACGTCGGCTGGTACGGAGTGGGGCTGGAGTGTCGGCTGGTACGGGGCGGGGCTGTAGTGTCGGCTGGTCCGGGGTGGGGCTGGAGTGTGGGCTGGTACGGGGTGGGGCTGCAGTGTCGGGTGGTACGGGGTGGGGCTCTGGTGTCGGCTGATCCCGGGCGGGGCTCTGGTGTCGGCTGGTCCCGGGTGGGGCTCTGGTGTCGGCTGGTCCCGGGTGGGGCTGTAGTGTGGGCTGGTACGGGATGGGGTTCTGGTGTCGGCTGGTACGGGGTGGGACTCCGACGTCGGCTGGTACGGGGTGGGACTCTGACGTCGGCTGGTACGGAGTGGGGCTGCAGTGTCGGCTGGTACGGGGCGGGGCTTGTAGTGTCGGCTGGTACGGGGTGGGGCTGCAGTGTCGGCTGGTACGGGGTGGGGCTGCAGTGTCGGGTGGTACGGGGTGGGGCTTTAGGGTCGGCTGGTACGGGGTGGAGCTGTAGTGTCGGCTGGTACGGGGTGGTACTCTGACGTCGGCTGGTGCGGGGGCGGGGCTGCGGTGTCGGGTGGTACGGGGTGGGGCTCTATGGTCGGCTGGTACGGGGCAGAGCTCTGGGGTTCGCGGGTCCGGGAAAAGCTCGGAGCTCATCGTGACAGTGTGGGCAGCGAGCTGAGCTGGGACTTCGCCAGTCAGGCGGGATGACGAACAATCTTGGTTGAGGTCATGGTTGCCTTGGGTATTCCCGTCCTCGTGATACTCTTAGGTGGAGGACGCCCAGCATCCGCGAGCACTTTCCGATCCGGGTCACGAAATTCAGCCCAAAATGTAATGGCACAAGCTTCCACATGAAATGTTTGCATCCCTGCCTTGTCTGTAATTATTCCCATGACTCCACTATGTTCGTATGTTCGCATTTGGTGTGATTATTAACGCTACTCCAAATGCGCTATCGTCCGAGTGGTGCTCTGTATTGGTCCTGACCGTGTGCTGTACTGAGTACCGATCGAGCGCTATGCTACGTTCTGCTTCTTGCTGTGTTTCTTGCTCTGCGTCTTGCTGTGCGCAGTGTCGCTGCTGTGGCTCGAGCCTAGCGCCTGGACCTGCTGCAGGTCTGTTCGAGCCGCGGCGAGCGCAGGACGGCAGCGAGCTGCCGTCGGCCCGCGTCGTCAGCATGATCGTCATCCCTACCCACCACGCCGAGAACGCCCAGCACAGCATGCTGCTCATGCAGTTCGGCCAGTTCCTGGACCATGACGTCACTCACACGCCCATGATCGAGAGTAAGGCGGCGCGCACACCCGGCCCCAGACATGAGCTGCGACTGGCCCCGTCCGGCGACGCCCTGGCCGGTCTGAGTGTTCAGTGTCCCACGCATTAGCGAGAGTTGGGCAGCTAACTCATTTCAAGTGCATGGCGTGAGTCTAGCGGAATCATGACGCGTAAATAATCAGTTCTGGTTTCACCGCTCCTTTACAATTAACGGGCGTAGTAACCGATCGAAGCAGGTTTCGTTGCCGGTGTCGGCGACCCCGGATCGGTGCATTTTGTCAGATGTGAGAAGTGGTGGAAACTTAAAGAACAAGAACAGGTTTCACGGGCTGATAGCACCGATACCAGCGTGCCATATGCGTCCCCGGGGTCAACAACCCGTCATTCCTGCGCAGCGAACAGTTCGTATGCTGTCCGAGCGGGCAGGGACATCCATGCACCCGTGCACCCCGGCCTGACATCTGACCTCTGGCGGCCGCCAGCTGACGACGGCGTGAAGATCAGCTGCTGCCGATACGGCGTGAAGGTGCGCGAGGGCGAGATCCATTCCGAGTGCTACCCCATCGAGATGCCGCCCAACGACCCGTTCTACGCGCCGTTCGGAGAGCGCTGCATGGAGCTGGTGCGCTCCGTGTACGCGCCCCGGCCCAGCTGCTACATGGGCCCCCGCGAACAGGTGAGCCCTCGTGACACCGAGGGGCGGAGAGCGCTGTGTGTAGCTGATGCGCTCCGTGTAGGCGTCCCGGTTCAGCTGCTACACGGGCCCCTGCGAACAGATCACCCATCGTGACACCGACCGCCGCTGAGGGGGGGGGGGGGAGTGAAGGGGGCGGCGGGCGCGCAGCCCAAACGCGATGAGCCTGGTGCGGGCCGATTTACGTGTTTTTTTTCATTGTCAGAGTTTCAAGGCTTCGCTGTGGGCTGGGGTGAAATTGGGATTCCAAGAAGCATGTATTTAGCATATACAGAAGTGCACAAGGTACATACAACATGTATAGAAGGACAGAAGCACTACCATTTTGGCGCGATTGTTGAACATGTACAGAATGACATAGGTACTGCCACTTTGGTGCACTAGTTGAACAGTCCAGAATTGACAGAGGTACCGCCCACTTTGGGGTGCTTGTTGAACATGTACAGAATGACAGAGGTACGCCACTTTGGTTGCACTTACACTCACGTTTTGATTTGGCCTGTTAGTAGCTTCTCATACGGCCCGTGATTAGGTCGGAAGTCTGCAGAAATGTCACATCGTGAAGAGTACAGTCGACAATAAGAGAAATCCGGCATGATATGGAGGAGATGATTCCGTCGTCTAAATATTTAACTGAAAAAAGCACGACGAGCGTGATCTTTCGAGATTATCTGAAGATCGTTCGTAGTCTAGCATGCAATGGATCGCCAAACACAAATACAGCCAAGAGGTGCGCGGGCGCGCGCGCGTGTGTGTGTGTGTGGTGTGTGTGTGTGTGTGTGTGTGTGGTGGTGTGTGTTGTGGTGTGTGTGTGTGTGTGTGTGTGTGTGTGTGTGTGTGGTGTGTGTGTGTGTGTGTGTGTGTGTGTGTGTGTGTGTGTGTGTTTAGACACAAATACTTTCATTTTTCACCATAGATGACACCTGACAGAGAGCTAAGATCATTATAATGTATTCTCGCTGAGTTTCACCTTCCACTCTTCCTCAGGAAAATCCCTGTCTCCAAGAATAAGTGCATAAGCTCACGTATTTCGGAGAAACGATGATAAACGGTCCTCGTGTGTCACGTTCCGTGCATTGGTGTATCGTATATGCGAATGCACAACGCAACGAGAAAAGCCAACTACATCTTAAGTACAACAAAATCATGTGAACAGATGACTGAAAAAGAGAATCTACGGGCATTACATTTAAAAAACAACATCACTGCTTAAAGTTCGAGCTAAGACTTCCTGAAACTTCCAATTGGCTTTGTGAATGAAATCCGCCATCGAATTAGGGAGCGATCTGCAGTGCCAAGCCTCCGTTGGAGATGCCTCACAGGGGCTTTCTGACAGACGGTCTATTTCTGTACTGGTTCCAGATGAACTCTTACCTTTAAGGATGCGGTCAACGTTTGGACATGATCCCACTACAATGTTTAACACTCTCATCTCCCACATACGTTGCTTGATTCAACCGGTAAAAAACGATGTGAAGGACAGGGCTGGAAGAAAGCCAGGCACTTCCACGAACCCAGACCTCATGAACGACTGCCGAGGATTCCGCCTTCAGTCGTCACGAAAGCCTGCCTGCTGAGTCAGCCGGCGCTGCTGCCCTCCCCCGCCCCGTCGCCCTGTGCCGGGCACCAGGCGGTGCGAGGAGGCGCCGCCCCCCTCCGGAAGCGACTCGACCTTCAGCACTGGGGGGGCTCCGCGCGGCGGCCGTCGCCGGACCGCGGAAGTCACGGTTAGACAGGCGGCTGGTGTCACTGAACGGCGCCCCGCTGCGGCACACGGCCAGGCAGACAAAGGCGCCTCCCCCGACGGCCGGCCGCAGTCCGGTGGTAATCCCTGGTCGCTGCGGTCCACAGGTCGCCCCACTCGCTCACCGTTGACCTGCTTGGAGGACGAGCGCTGGTTGGAACTTCACGCAGCTTAGGTGGACCGAAGACGCGGCTCGGTTGATTTAGAGCTTTCTTGAGCTCTTGAGCAAATCGCGTATAGTTTTCTTTTCACGTTTCGCGAAGGATGGGCAGATTACTGTAGGCGTCAACGTTGGCACACAAGGTGCTGGCGGATTATATTCTGTTATGAGAATTGACCGAGCCCTGTGTACCACTGCCAACGTCACTGAAAAGTATCCAGAAGTACACCTCAAGGAGAAGCAAACCAATTCTTCTCATAGTCGTTTAGATTGCAGAGGCGAGGCTGGATATCTGCAGAGGCCAGTCGGTTGTTTTCGTAAGAACACACCATAGAACGGCAATGTCCGGTCCGACTATGGAATTTCGCACAAAGCATCGTCCCTGTCCAGGCTTTGGTGGTAACAGGAAATATGTGGCCTTTTCAATCGAATTCTCGAGTGATTTGTGACGTGGAGTGATGTCCAGCATTCCAACCATAATTCCCCAGATGGGACCGCAGACGCCTTTGTCACCACACACAATGGGATATGATGCCCTACGCATCGGCGGCGTCAGGCAGTGTGAGACGCGGCCGCAGGCAGCTGGGGTGGCGCCGCTGATCCGGGGAAGCCGTGTGCTTCACCCTGGCCGCCGTCTGCCCGGCGCGAGCTGACGTCATCCGTCCGGACCGTCTGGCCCGTGACTCAGCGCTGGGGGCTGCCCTCTGGTGCACGGTCACTCTCCTGTCGGCCCTATTGTGCACGGCCACCTTCCTGTGGGCGGTGGGTCCTCTGATGCACGGCCACCTTCCTGTGGGCGGTGGGTCCTCTGATGCACGGCCACCTTCCTGTCGGCGGTGGGTCCTCTGATGCACGGCCACCTTCCTGTTGGTGGTGGGCCCTCTAATGCAAGGCAACCTTCCTGTCGGCGGTGGGCCCTCTGGTACACGGCCACCCTCCTGTTGGTGATGGGCTCTCTGATGCACGGCCACCCTCATTGTGAACCAACGTCGGACCATCTATTCAGCGTTTCTCTTATAGAGCAGACCACGAGAGGACAGGCCCTTCCTCGAAGAGGAGGCCGCGTGGGGACAGGTCCTCCCTCGTGGAGGTTACGTGAGGACAGGCCCTCCTCTGTTAAGGCGGGGAATGCGATAGATAAACCCCAGGACCGAATGATTCTCAAGTAGAGAGAATCTCTAGTTAGCGGATCATCTAGCGAATGGAATCTCCCGTGAGGTCTATAGTTTTCCGTGCTGTTGATGCAGCCAATGCAGGCAGATAACTAACCATTTGTTGGCGATGTGGCCTTAATGTAATCTCTTTAGCCCTCCAAGAAGTAAACAAGCATGAAAATGTGTGTTTGAGACGTGTCAACGAACAAGATGATTCGATTGATAGTTGCGCAATGAACCTTATAAACGGCCCCATGCACCCAGGACTGCTGTATCCTGACTTTTCATCAGAGCAGCCTTGGGTAATCGCACGCATTTTCAGCCCATGAGTTACAGCCTTCTCCTTGGCACTGTCGTGCGTGGTTCCCGGGGGGGAGGGGAGAGGGGATCCGGGGGGGGGGGGGGGGCTATCGGGTTCGCACTTCATCATCGCGCTCGACCGCGTCCGCGGCCCATGAAGAGCGCACTGTCCAGCGTTCCCGAGCTATCAGATTGGTCCCCGTCTCCGCATCCACAGTCCCCGCGAAGGACGCTCTCACCTTTTTGGAAGTTTTGTGCCAGCTGCTGCATTTTATCATCAATTGTCACCGAGCACTGCGTCGCATAGGATGAATCATGCATCCTGTTCTGTCGGCTAGTTTAAGGGGAGTGGTCCGCATTTCTAGAGGGCTTGAACTGAAATAGGCATCCTGAAGATCATTCGGTGCAGCTCACAGCACCGCGGTTCTTAGACCTAAATCTAGTTCCTGAGCTATACGCCCGCGAAGACGGGAAAACTTCTTCGGGGAGAGTATTTCAATGTCACCTTGGCGTTCATACCGTCACAAGAACGCCATTCAAATGCTGCCATTCCATACAAATTGCGCCAATCAAGGCCAATAAAAATGTTATGGTCGAGTCATTCACATCTGGCGTTCTTGAGTACGTTGTCTCGATAACGGCCGTCAATTGGCTCTCAATCAATGTGGGCAAGGTCACCTTGACAATCACACTGACGCAATCATACAATAACGTATCGAGGAGCTCATTTACCGAACAAAGAAATTATGTTACTTAGAGCAGTCTTTTTTAATTAAAGTTCTACAAATAGTTATAAGTTAGCATATCTGATGCTTGCTTCAATATCTTCAAATGTGAAACACTCACTTTAAATGAACGCAGGCGACTTGCCACGTACACTGCTGGTGTATGGAAACGACCTGCTGAATCCCCATATGCTCCACGGCGCACCTAAGCAAGCTTAAGCAAGCTTACATCCAGGAACTCTTTGAAATGCAAACAAACAAGATGCAAACAAATCGGTGCATACCGCGATATGATGCAGATATGGGAAATCGCATCCACTACTAGCCACTGGGCAGCGCGTTGCTAACGGATGTAATTCGATTGTGGTTAGTTGTGTGGAACAAGAAATGACGTTTAAATCTTGTATATCTAGTCATCAGGCTGATGCCCACCCCTTCTTTGTGCGGTCACACCCACTTTCCAGAATGGCCGAGCCTTGTCTGCGCCAGTGCCGCTTGTCCTGCATCACACCAGCTCAACCCCACACCTGCGCTCCCCCAGATGAACCAGATCACGGCCTACGTGGACGCCAGCAACGTATACGGCTCCTCGGAGCACGAGGCCGAGGAGCTGCGCGAACACAGCGGCGGCCTGCTCAAGTCGCGGCCAGTCCACGGCCATCCGTACCTGCCGGCCGACTCCTTCACCTGCAAGGACGTCAAGATGCCGGAGTGGACCTGCTTCAAGGCAGGTGAGAGGTCAAGCACCGAGAGCCGCAAGTGCGCTTCCCTCATGGCAGCGCTCGTCAGCGTCAAGGGGCATACATTGGTACTTCGTTTTGCGATACGTTTTGGGTGGGTTCACAATGCACGTAGAGGTGTGACGCACACTTGATGTGGTCATGGGATACTGAAGTGCTAGGTGTTAGTTGTAACCATCAGCACACTTTTTCGAGGCTTTCCTCAACAAAGGCGCGCGATGGTGAAATCATGTCAAGAGGTATATGATTGCTAATACAGCACCTAACCTAACCTAAACTAACCTACACAGTGACGTTACCCCAGGGATATTAGAGGCTAAATTCAGATGATGTCGTCACAACCTCTAAGCTGTAAAGTTCAAAGCACGACGGATTCGTAAAAGTCCAGCTGAGGAAGGTCTGCAGACCCGTCTGAGCCATGGTCGCCTCTGCGATTCATCTTCAGATTGGCTGGAAAATACTATCCGCTCGCCGGGAATTACAGGATCAGGTAGCACGGGTTCTGCAGACCGAACGGAGCACGCGACCCATCCGGTCATGAGCTGACAGCTGCCAGTGTCGCACTGCGACCTGCGTGACCCCCCCCCCCCCCCGCTCCGCCCGCCCCGGCCCCGTCTCTGGCTACCTGACCGCCGAGTCCGCGCTACCCCGACGCTGAACCCCGATCGCGCCCGCAGGCGATGAGCGAGTCAACGAGCAGGTGGACCTGGTGGTGATGCACACGCTGTGGATGCGCGAGCACAACCGGCTGGCGCGAGCTTTGCACGCGGTGAACCCGCGCTGGGACGACGAGCGGCTCTTCCAGGAGGCGCGCCGGATCGTGGCCGCCGAGATGCAGCACATCACGTACAATGAGTTCCTGCCCATCGTGATTGGTGGGTAGTGGGTGGCGCATCATAGGGATTGGTGGACAGAGGGCGAGCACCATTGCGATTGGTAGACAGAGGTCGAGTTCCGTAGTGGTTGGTAGGCGACGGGATGGGCGGGCCGACATCGACCCGAGCTGCCAGTGAGGGACTGCAGATCGGCGGTCACGTGCCGGGCCAGTTTATCTCTGCGGGCCTTCTGTATATGATAAGACCAAAGCAAAGTATTCAGCACATTTTTTTTCAAAGTAACTTTCTAAAGTAAATCCAGCATATTTTCCAAAGCCAGTCTAGGTCATCTTTCCCTTTTGTTGACTTGATAATTAGCTGAATCAGGATGGCGTACAGGTCCTGTCATCATCTCCCGACATCTAGGCTGTGGCTAGCTCTAGCAGTAGTCCGGGGCAGGTCCACTGAACTCACTGTGTCACCGGCAGGACGCCGTCACATGCAGAAGACGAAGCTGCTGTCGCCACTGAAGAGCGGCTTCACCAACAACTACGATCCCGAAATCAGTGCCGGGATCACGAACGAGTTTTCGACGGCCGCGTTCAGGATGGGCCACACCCTGATCCCAGACAACATCATGTGAGCACGCTCTACGTCCGTGTCAGTTCTCAAGTCTGCAGCGCTCTTGCTATCGGCTCCAAACGAACGGATCGGTGGATGCGTTGAATGCGTTGGGCCAAAGCATCAGTCGACCCAGGACGCCGCGTTAGCTAGCTTGCTAGCTGACCGAACGCAGATTTCACAGCAGTGAAATAGAGCGGGCGCAAGATGCAAACGGGCGCAGCGGGCAGCAGACACAGGGACGCAGCGGGCAGCAGACACAGGGACGCAACGGGCAGCAGACACAGGGACGCAGCGGGCGGCTGATACCGGAACACAGCGGGCAGCAAACACAGGGAAGCAGCGGGCAGCAGACACAGGGACGCAGCGGGCAGCAGACGCAGGGACGTAGTGGGCAGTAGCAACAGGGACGCAGCGGGCAGCAGGCACGGGAAACAATGTGGTGCCCTGTCCAAGTGCAGTAAAACGCCTCGGTACCTTCGTGACTGGTGTTGTTGGCTTTGGACGGTGGCCGACTGATATGCGGGATGGCCCGTCTGGTCCGACAGGGGCCCCGCACTAGTCCGCCGGCACGGGTGGCTTACCAGGAGCCGGGGCCCCAGCAACCACCTCCGCGTGTTCTCTGTCGCTCCCATATCTGTTGAATTATATTTGACGTGTTAATGTCTATATTGACAGCCGCTGACGTCACTGGCCACTTAACATGTGACCGAAGTCCGGGCCAGGGAAAACCGCGAGACAGAACTTGAACACAAATATTTTGCTTATGAGCACCTTTCTATATGCTCTTTCTAATGAGCTAATGAACACCTTTCACCACCCAACCACTGACCGGCTGTTGTGCGTTCGCCAGTTCGATGACCCAGTTCGGCAGCAAGGAGAAGGTGACTCCGCTGCACCGAACCCAGTTCACCCCCTTCGACCTGTACCGCCGCGACGCCTTCAGTGGCCTCCTGCGCGGCCTGCTCGAGATGCCCAGCATGAAGTTCGATAACGCCTTCAGCAAGGAGGTGAGCTACGGGGATGCATTGAGTCAACCTTAAGCAGGAGGTGCTGCGCGACTGTCGCCCCAGTCAGTCCCGATTCCCGGCCGACTGATGGTCTATAGCGCTGCTGGTCTGCACATGTCCGGCGTTGTCTTCTCTACACAAGGGGGCCAGAGAGTCAGCCCATGACGTTCGTTTGCGTTACTTTCCCGAATAATGAAACTGGTCAAGTCTTTGTCACCGCTCACAGTTTGGAGCGGGTGGAATGCTTTGCTAGAGGTCAACATCACAGGACTCGCTGAGTGGAATTATTGGCCCCTGACCAGACGTCGATGCGCATCGCGTTAAAGATCGGCGTAGATGACGGTAGCTGACTCTAACTCTGACGCCGCTGATCCGTGCTGGGGCCGGCAGCTGCTGGGCCACCTGTTTCAGTTTGAGGGCCTGTTCGGGATGGACCTGATAGCGCTCAACATCCAGCGGGGTCGAGACCACGGCATCCCACCCTACAACAAACTGCGCGAGATCTGCGGCCTGAAGAAAGCCACCACCTGGAGCGACTTCGCCAGCGAAATCGACTCACAGGTGTGACTCGGCGACTCGGCTCGGTGACTCGGCGTGCTGTACGACTCGCCTGGCACGAGCCTCGAGGTCTCGTGGGGGTCACAGAGGTCACCGGCACGGGCGTGACGTGACGCAATCGGACACAGCACCGGTGGGATGTCCACGACATGCGGTCAGTGTCGAAACGGTTTCGTGGTGTGACTCCGCTCCTTAACAAACCTGCTGACCGAGAGGCTTCTCTGTCCTGATACCTTGCATGCCGTGCGAGACATGCAAGTTTTCAGGATTGGCGAGATGGGGGTCACAAGCTGAAAGGGTTCGATGCAGCGAGCAGTGTGGTGGCAGTGAGTGGATGGGATGCTCCTGCCCTGACGCGACACTCGTGTCACGCGCTGCCGTACCTCCTGATCATCACGCATCTTAACGGTCACTCTGGCAATACGCGCTCGTCACCATGTCACTGACTGGCCATATGGTTGACTCTAGTATACCACAGCCACAGCGGCACGCGACTGACCGTCTTCCGGCGCTGCGTTCGGGCGGTGACCCCCTGACCCCGAAGGCACTGTCGCCGCAAACCCTGAGCAAGTTCGCGGTGATCCCCTGACCCTGAAGGCACCGTCGCCGCAAACCCTGAGCAAGTTCGCGGTGATCCCCTGACCCTGAAGGCACCGTCGCCGTAAATTCTGAGCAAGTTTTCGGTGATCCCTGACCCTGAAGGCACTGTCGCCGCAAACCCTGAGCAAGTTCGCGGTGATCCCCTAACCCCGAAGGCACTGTCGCCGCAAACCCTGAGCAAGTTCGCGGTGATCCCCTGACCCTGAAGGCACCGTCGCCGCAAACCCTGAGCAAGTTCGCGGTGATCCCCTGACCCTGAGGGCACTGTCGCCGCAAACCCTGAGCAAGTTCGCGGTGATCCCCTGACCCCACAGGTCCCACTGTCTCAGAACCTGAACAGGCTCGCAGTGTTCCCTGACCCCACCGGTTCCGTTGTCGCAGACCCTAAGCAAGTTCGCGTTGCTGTACAAGTCGGTGGACGACGTGGACCTGTTCATCGGCGGTGTGTCCGAGCGCCCGGTGGATGACGCGCTGGTAGGCCCCACTTTCCGCTGCATCATCACCGACCAGTTCGCTCGCCAGAAGGCCGGCGACAGATACTTCTACGAGGAGGGCGGACAGACCGGCTCATTCACTCTCGGTCAGTGTCTCACTGCGGCGACCTTCACTGGGTCGGTGTCCTTGTGTGAGTGCGTGGGTTGCTGCATAGTGCAGAGAGAGAGAGAGAGAGAGAGAGAGAGAGAGAGAGAGAGAGAGAGAGAGAGAGAGAGAGAGAGAGAGAGAGAGAGAGAAGAGAGAGAGAGAGAGAGAGAGAGAGAGAGGAGAGAGAGAGAGAGAGAGAGAGAGAGAGAGAGAGAGAGAGATATATATATATATATATATATATATATATATATATATATACATAAGTTGGGTGTATGCACATTAAGCATGGATATCTGTGTTTGTACGCGTTTGTTTGTTAGTGCATGCGCTGTTGTATCCCCTGAGCGAGTGGAGAATTAAAGCCGTCTTCTCCCAAAGTCAGCCACTACCACCGCACCGGTCAATGTGCCCAGCCCAGTTCTATGCAAGCATGTCGAATGACTGGAATAGTTAAAGCGTCCTGAAACTCTCAATAACTGATAGTGTAATCATGCGCGATGAGCGGCCCTCCATAAATTAAGTTACGTAAGGAGGAGAGAACGCATTCGGTAGGGCGTAATGGATGCGTAACAACAAAGGGAGGGAAAGCCTGATGTAGTGTAACGCTACGCTCAAATGTGGTTGCAAACATGCTAAAATCTCTAAAATAACACCGTTAGATCGGATGCGATTGGCTTCTTGTCATGACGTGGACGTTCCTTGTCCGTTTCACATCTTCAGCCCAAGCAGGGGCCATCCGGAGGTTGCTCTCTTGAGACAGTGAGCTAAAAACAGCGCACCAGGTGGGAGGGAGGGGGAGTGGTGACCAGCCCAACCAGTGCGTAACCATAGGGAAGTGAGGGCTAAAATGGCCAAAACTGAGTGACGTAATTTGTGAACAGCTTTTAAGTTGGTGCTCAGAACAAGACCAGTTTGCGTTTGAAGCCGGCTCAAATCGCTGTTGCATTAATGCGAATTAAAAACTGCATATCAACCTGTTCGCTTCGACAAAGTTCCACTATGCGGCTGTGTATTCTGCACGCGCTCACTTCCTACGGCTTCAGGTAAGCGTTTAAGCATTACCTAGCCACTTTTGTCAAAGAGTCGGTCTCCGTTGTAGTCACTGCCCGTTGAACGCCAGCTGAGGTGGAACCTTCATCGCTTCGTTGGTACAGTCGTGTCCTTATATCCCACGGTGGCGGTCCCACTGATGCCTGACGGGTCCCACTGACCCTCTGACCCCGCTGATGACCCCCACAGACCAGCTGGCCGAGCTGAGGAAGGCGTGTGATTCCTGACGGGTCCCACTGACCCTCTAGCCCTGCTGATGACCCCCACAGACCAGCTGGCCGAGCTGAGGAAGGCGTGTGATTCCTGACGGGTCCCACTGACCCTCTGACCCCGCTGATGACCCCCACAGACCAGCTGGCCGAGCTGAGGAAGGCGTGTGATTCCTGACGGATCTCACTGACCCTCTGACCCCGCTGATGACCCCCACAGACCAGCTGACCGAGCTGAGGAAGGCGCGAGATTCCTGACGGGTCCCACTGACCCTCTAGCCCCGCTGATGACCCCCACAGAGCAGCTGGCCGAGCTGAGGAAGGCGTGTGATTCCTGACGGGTCCCACTGACCCTCTGACCCCGCTGATGACCCCCACAGAGCAGTTGGCCGAGCTGAGGAAGGCGCGTGATTCCTGACGGGTCCCACTGACCCTCTAGCCCCGCTGATGACCCCCACAGAGCAGCTGGCCGAGCTGAGGAAGGCGTGTGATTCCTGACGGGTCCCACTGACCCTCTAGGCCCGCTGATGACCCCCACGGAGCAGCTGGCCGAGCTGAGGAAGGCGCGTGATTCATGACGGATCTCGCTGACCCTCTAGCCCCGCTGATGACCCCCACAGAGCAGCTGGCCGAGCTGAGGAAGGCGCGTGATTCCTGACGGATCTCACTGACCCTCTGACCCCGCTGGTGACCCCCACAGACCAGCTGGCCGAGCTGAGGAAGACTCGTGATTCCTGACGGATCTCACTGACCCTCTGACCCCGCTGATGACCCCCACAGACCAGCTGGCCGAGCTGAGGAAGACGCGACTCTCACGCATCATCTGCGACAACGAGGAAATCGGCTGGGTGCAGCCGAATGCCATGCTCAACCCGGACCCGGTGAAGTGAGTCAACTTGCAGCCCCTGTACTGTGCGGTGGCAATGGGTGCAAGCCATGGACGCTGTGTATCTCCCTAGAAAAGTTGGAGAGAAACTTCTGGCAGGATTTTAAGCCGGATATTCCGTTTGGAGTGCTTCTGAGCGTCCTGAGGCTGCTGCGGTGTAGTGGGGGCATGACGAGCGGCTTTGCACCACCCAACGGGGCTGGGATCAAGTCACGTGCGCTTGTGGGGCTGACAACACCGCAGGCTGCATTGCAGCGTCTCTGGCTGGTGTTCAGCTGGTGGATGACTAAATCGGACGAATGGATTGCCTATTGTGCAGCGGGGAATCGTACCCAGCTGAGCCTGATCTGCATTCGTTTCAGGAATCCTCGGACGGCCTGCGCCGACCCGACGGCCATACCCAGCCTAGACCTTTCCAAATGGGCGGAGTGACTGTTTAGCGGCGACGTGCATCCGCCTGTCGCAGCAGCGACGCTGGTTCCGGCGCGTCGTGTTTGCCCCGCGGTGCGCCTCCTGGAGCCTAGAGAGAGATACAGGGAGAGAGGGCAGTGTCCATTCTTACTGCCGATGTGATAGACATGTTGGCGTGAGTATCAGTACACACAATGTGTAACGTCAGGTGATGCTTTAATCTGGATCTTAACTTGACGCAAAAGCAAGGAATATGATGACGTGATGGTTTTCTCACGAAGAGCTACGACGTAGTGAAGGTATCTGAAACTGCTGAGGAGGTCGTGCATTTTCAACCAGAACTTCTACGCAGCATCTGTTGTCTGTTGGTGTAAAAGTTGTACACATGGCTGGCATATTGATAATTACTAGAATATACCTGATGTGCCATGATCTCTTGGGAACATAATACAGGAACAGTGTTTCTACTATTCCGTACGAAATTTCTGCCAAACAATGAAGACCGCGACGCAAGTACTCAGTACTGAGTCGATTGACACCATAGGGCCGACAACGACGTGCGCGTGCATGGAAACTGGCATCTGCACGTTTATGTGACGCACGGTAATCTGATAGGATTAGGAAGGTTCGGTACTTATGAGGTGTGTAAGAGGGCTTAGCTTCACCAACGGCAGATGAAAGATGGACAAGGCTACACTTCCTTTGAACGTCCCTTGTTTGCTGCTTGTCAGCTATGCCGTAATGCCGTGATGTGTTTGCGTGGTGTCGAAGATGCCAACCAACTTGAACGCAAAAGGGTTCTTCCAGGGAAACGCATTCGAGGGAAACACATTCCCCCCAAAAAAGGAAACACATTCGAGTGCAGGCTTCTTACGTTCTGTGCCGCGGAGCGATCGATGCTACTAGAGCGTAAAAATCGCCAGTCCAAACAAAAACCGCATCATTTCAAATACTATGTATTCATGATGAGGATCTTTTAGTTGACGTGTGCAGCACTAAAAACCGAATGCCTTTTTAACCGGTAATGGGAGTATTCGGCCGCACCTTCACCAGCGGCTGGAGACCCGGAGAGCTGTAGTGTCCATGCTTATTGCGAATCATACTCCCCAAGCCAGATTCATCCCAAGAACAGAGGCTTTCCGGCTCAAAAGGATAGCTGTACCGGTTCAGATGAACCTCTTAAGAAAGCTGGGAACGAATTCAGTTGTTAGCGGTGGTCAACAGAGTCACTATCCAAACACAAGGAGAGCCTAGATCAGTGTATTTGTGTCTCAATTTTAAGCGCGAAAGACGTTGCCAAAATGAAAATGACACAAAACTGGAATGCAAAGCAGAATCCGGGGCAGCCATATCAGAAACCATTCTCAGATCATTCCTTCCAGCGGGTACAGAAGAAACAACGAAGCACAAGAGCAGAAGCAAGCAGGGGAATGCTGTTCAATGAGTAAAACACACACTTGGCAGTGAAAGCAGTGAACAGCATCCACCAATGCAACCGGAGCGCGTCCGACGAATCCACACGACCGCAACAAACACACAAGCTTAATGACGTCACTCACTCGTGGACCCGCTCACGACGTGGCCAGGACCTCACGCAAACCTCCCGCATCCGCCCAGATATAGGCGGAAACTGGGCGGAAACTGGCCGCTGCCCGGCGAGGCCTACAGCAGAGGGCACGTGTTGGCCGTGACGGCGCCGACGACCTTGGCGAATCCGAGGCCGATGTCGCGGCGGTTCTCGATGACCAGATTGCGGATGCAGCCGACGTACTGCTTCTGCGTGATGAGGCCGCGCACGTTGCGGTTGGGCACGCCGCCCACGTACAGCGGGCTGTTGGTGTCGGTGGAGGAGACGCCGGCCACGCCGAACACCGGCTGCACCGTCACGCTGTCCACCGACATGGTGGCCACGTTCTGTACCTTCACCACTGCGACGGACAACGGACGTGGTCAGCAGACGAGCTGATACACGCTACGCCAGGTCGGGGCGGTCGCTCGCGGTACGAGCCCGCTGGTCTGGCACAGGCATTCGAGAGAGGGTCAAGTCTGAGGAGCGGTCAAGCTCTTGGAATGCATAGCTTCTCCGACTCGTTTTCACCGATTAACATAGCAACCGTTTCACTGATTAGCGTGACAAAAAATTATTTTATGTGTGTGCATGTTCATCACTGTTTAACGGGTCGACAATCTAACACACGCTCAGTTCCCGCAGCCACGTGAAATGCTTGAAATCATTATTCATGTTCCGTTCACCGTCCTATAGCATGCCGGCAGCGATACTGCTGGAAAAGCTATCTTCGGGCAGTAATCACGAAGCAGTACCTGACAGTCAGCCATAGAGACGCCGTCTGGCTCCGCATCCTTACGGTCTGTGACCTAGGCCTACAGCCACGCAGCGCAGAGACACGAAACCACGCCTCTCTGAATCACGCCGCTCAGTGATACAGACCAAAGACACATACCTTTTACACCAGAGTTCGATTATCATGTCAATTACCATTCAAATGCACCACTGGAACTAAGTCGCTTACGGGACGGATACTCCTATGGTGCTATCAACGGCCCCCGGGTAGCTAGTCTCGTTGCCGAGACCGAGCGTCGTCCGTGAGCGACCGAGTCGGTCCGGGGCGTACCTCTGATGCTGTGCCACTGGCCGTCGCAGAGGGCGTGCTGCGCCGGGGGCGTGTAGTTGGACATCATCTCGCCGCGCCCGTTCTCCACCGTCAGCCTGCGGACACGCGGCGCCCGGGGCGCCCGTCAGTCCAGCGCGTCACGCCCGAGGCGCCCAGACGGATGGATCCGGTGGGACCCGGCTCCGGGGTCCGGTGGGACCCAGCCCCGGGTCCGGTGGGACCCGGCTCCGGGGTCCGGTGGGACCCAGCCCCAGGTCCGGTGGGACCCGGCTCCGGGGTCCGGTAGGACCTGGCCCCGGGGTCCGGCGGGACCTGGCCCCGGGGTCCGGTGGGACCTGGTCCCGGGGTCCGGTGGGACCCGGCTCCGGGGTCCGGTGGGACCTGGCCCCGGGGTCCGGTGGGACCTGGTCCCAGGTCCGGTGGGACCCAGCACCGGGTCCGGTGGGACCCGACCCCAGGGTCCAGTGGGACCTGGCCCGGGTGCGGTGGAACCCGGCCCAGGGGCCGACGCCAGGATCGGACGGCTGACACCTAGCGACGGTTTCCAGAGTACCGCCACTTGCGCCTGATTCACCCTCAGGTGTTTGTAGCTCCCGCCACTGCGGGGGGGGGGCGGACCGTGGGAACCCCGCATCACGACACTGACCGCGGGCGCAGCGGTGGAAAGCACTGAAAATCAGTGGTAAGCCCTGGAAATCAGTGGTAAGCACAGCCATCTGTTCATGAGGAAGCATGTCAGAAGTTCAATGTCAGGCGTGCTCAAATTTCAACTGAATTGTGGGAAAGGTCTTGGCTGAACACACACGCTGGCGATAAATGCTAAAAATGCCGTGACAGACAAATGTCGACTTCACGCCGCTTGAGTTCGTCACCGTCCGCCTCGACCTTTCGTCCGCAGTATAAGACGACCAGACCAGACCAGCCTAGACCAGACCAGACCAGACCAGACCAGACCAGACCAGACCAGACCAGACCAGACCAGGCCAGGCCAGACCACACCAGACCAGGCCTGAGCACCGACCTGAGTGAGCCGTCCTCCAGCATCTGCAGCAACAGGAAGTCCTTCTTGCCGTGCACGGCCAGCAGGACGCCGCCCAGCTGGCGAGGTCGGATGTCCAGCGTGATGTCCACCTCCATGCCGACCCGGAACCGGTCCTCTGCCGGAGGGGGCTGGGCGTCAGGGCTGCCGCCCGACCACAGCGGGGCGCCATCCTCGGTGTAGCGGCCGTAGCGCGTGATGATTACCACCGGGCCGACGGGCGGGGGGGAGGGGGGAGGGGGACGGCGGATGCCCTTGATCGCAGCGGTCGTCATCGGCGGTACTGCCAATGACACGTGTACCAGCCAGGCTCAAGTGTCCCCTGGCGGCAGCCCTGTCCAAAGGCCGGCGCATACCCCGAAGAGGGGACCCTGCGTGAGCAAGGTCTCGGTGGGGAACTCGCAGGTGCACGTGGTCTTGCCCCACCACTATCCACTCGTCTTCACTTCATAGCTCACAAGTGGTCGCTGATGGTCGAAAGGGCTCCAATCCCAACCAACTCCAACCAAACGGTTTGAGATAAGGCCCACCGCGGGACACCGAACGGAGTAACCCACCTGCGATCATGTAGCCGCCCTCCACGGAGAAGAAGGCGCCCTGCTCCACCTTGGTGGAGCACGTGGTGACCTCTATCGACCTAGCCGGGTTACCGAACGGCCGGTCGTTCATCATCAGGTTGCGCAGGCAGCCGTTGAAGCTGGCGTCGATTTTCTGCGGGTGCGCCACCCGCCGGTCACCCACGGAGCACGGGCTCAGCGGCACACCGTCGTAAAGGGGCTGCACGCTGGGACATACGGTCAGGTGCGTTTTTGAAGCCATCATAAAGCGATGCATAGGTTGTGCCCTCAAGTACAATAACCCATTGAAAAGCAATGCATCTGAAGCGAGTGGGTACGCTGTTTTATTGCTGGTTCATTGGTGCTGTGGAAGGCGGGGGAGGGGGGAGGGCAGCGTTCTCAGCATTCAACGCACTGCCATTCATTGCTTCCTACACTGGCATCATCAGCTATCACTTCGAAACATCCAACATATGGCACCGCCGGTACGTGCAAATTTGACGACTTCGCACGCTGACGAGAGCCGCACGCTGACGAGAGCCGCCGTCAGAGCTTCGCACGCTGACGAGAGCCGCACGCTGACGAGAGCCGCCGTCAGAGCTTCGCACGCTGACGAGAGCCGCCGTCAGAGCTTCGCACGCTGACGAGAGCCGCCGTCATTCATACACATTATCTCAGTTTGCCTCATCGGAAAAAACGTGAAAAACGCATGACAAAAGCTGGCATGAGAAAAGCATGACAACCACAAATTATTCAGAGCCATCCCGGCTGCAGCAAGCCAGCCCACGTCGTTTGCCACTGCCCTCGATGCTGGTATCCGCGCGTATGGCGGGAGTAGCGTGGCGTCTGGACACCAAAGCCCCTACTGACCTCGACATTACCCTGGACCCGCTCGTTCTCTTTGATCTCCTCGGAGAAGCCGCCGAGGAAGTAGGGCGGATCGACCTGGATGTTGCGCGAGTTACCGATCGACTGGCCAGTGGCCACCAGCTCGCCGTCAATGTACAGCTCGCCCTGCGGAGCGGACAGGTGTCAGCGCTGGAGGCGGCGCAGCGGGCTGGCGAGGGGGGCGGCACCCCACAGCTGGCTGGCGAGGGGGCGGCACCCTACAGCTGGCTGGTGAGGGGGCGGCACCCTACAGCTGGCTGGTGAGGGGGCGGCACCCTACAGCTGGCTGGCGAGGGGGCGGCACCCTACAGCTGGCTGGTGAGGGGGCGGCACCCCACAGCTGGCTGGCGAGGGGGCGGCACCCTACAGCTGGCTGGTGAGGGGGCGGCACCCTACAGCTGGCTGGTGAGGGGCGGCACCCCGTGGCGGGCCGACGAGCGGGCAGCACCCCACAGCGGGACGCAGACGGGGCCGCACCCCACAGAAGTTTGGCGAGGCGGCGGCACTTCACTGCGGACCGGCGAAGAGCAGACGGGCAAGTGAGGGGCAAGTGAAGGGCAAGCAAGCGAGGGGCAAGTGAGAGGCAAGTGAGGGGCAAGTGAGGGGCAAGTGAGGGGCAAGTGAAGGGCAAGTGAAGGGCAAGTGAGGGGCGGGTGACGGGCAAGTGAGGGGCAAGTGAGGGACAAGTGAGGGGCAACTGAAGGGTAAGTGAGGGGCAAAGTGAGGGACAAGAGAGGGGTCAGCACCATATAGTGGGCCGGCGAGGGGGC